AAAATAATAGAAAATGTGCATGAGGAAGACTTCGTTTTTGAAATTCGATAACATATATGTGAGCAATGACAGTTCTTAAAATATTCTTTTTGTATAAATCATTTTTCAATTCTTACAATTTTGGCTCTAAATATACGTACAATAAGATCTAGGTGATTTTCAATCTCGTCATTGTGTTTTTGAATCTCGTCATTGTGTTTTAGTTCTTGTCTAATCTTTAATCAATTTGGATTACATGTGATAGTCAAAATATATCTGACTTTTCATAACGCTGCACAATAGCCATTGCATCCATATATCTCTTTAGCATAAATCTAGAGCCATATGTAAAAAACTGTGGCAAAATAAATTTTCTTCCAATGTTACAACCTCTCGTCTCTCCATGTTGAACGCTATGTACAATACCTTGGTAAAGTTCCGCCCTGATTTGTTTTTGGTTATTAAGAAAATAGTCTAACCTTGCAGTTCCGATCTTAACATACATATCTACAATATATTGTTGTAACAATCTACCACTATGGAGCAAAACAGACTTACTCGAAGGCCAAATTTGTAGTTTGTATGAATAATATTCTCGGCAAGACACATGACATCGGTGCTTAGTTCCAAGAAGCACTACCAAAAACAAAATGAGTATTCATTTATAACATGTGCATCATAAAAATAAGTGAAATGTAGAACAAAATGTATTTACAAACCTTCATTCTTGTGTTCAATAAATTCAGCTACAGAAGTAACTATTGAAGGTAAAGCAACAAACTGAGAAGTAGGTTGACCATGGCTCATCATCGATCTCCCAATGCCTTCATGCCAACCAGATTTCCCATACGAAAAAAGTTATGGTTACTGTAAAGGATCATAACAACCGTAATAGTAATGAACTCTATGTATATCATCAGAATGACCATATATAATAATATCACGGACGAGAGAATTAGTATTCTCATCATCTTCGACCCATACAACAACCACTTGAGATACTGTAGGAGTGTTAAAAACACATTGATCATGTCTTGAATCGCATCTTTTGTGTATTTTATGATCTTACAAGTTAGACATATTAGCTAAAGATCTGAAAAATCTACTATATGGATTTGTCTTCAAAATTTCAATTAAAACAAGGAAAGTATGTTGAACAAAATTTTCTGAAATTTCGATACGATTTTTAAGTTCATTATCTGTGTCATAGAAATATAACTGCATATAAGAAGGCTTATTGTCTTGTGGCACAAGTTTATTTAAATAATGATATATTTGGCCTTGAACCCTAAACGTGTAAATAATTTGTATGATTTGAAGAGATTTCTGTCGTATTTAATACCAAATGAAGTGAACGCAAAGTGGTTATTATATCCTCTTGCAAGCTTCTTAAATTCCATATTTTTTTTGTTCTTTGGACTTAAATAAGTTGTACAGTTCAACTGGGGAATCAGGCATAGAAAGATAAACTTTTCTATCAGAGCAACAGAAGTCTTTGCTTTCCCTGTGAAATTTGTTTGCACCACAATGTTTACAATTATCGCATGTAGGTAATACATATGAAGTGCTCGGTATGTTTATGATATTAAAATCACTTTCAAATGCAGATGTACAAATATTACGTAAATCTCCATCTGAAGTAGAAGCCTCAAAATCTTGGAAATCATGATGTAATGTAGGATATTACATTCTCACAGGATTAGAGTTATTATGCACGGATGACATAACATCAACTTTAGATTGATTATGTCCAAATGACATATGATGAGATATTCTTTTACGATGATCAATACATCCCGTGCGAAGCCCTTTCTGCCGCTCTCTTTGCCTTTGGGTTTGCATTGTTTCAAAATTTAAAGGAGTAGTAACTCCATCGGAACATGTATTCGGAACATCCATGACAACAATACGATAAATCTTATGGAATAATTGAGGCTGCAAGCAACGAACATAAATTTAAAAAAAAGTTAACATATAATTCTCTTTATAAGTGGGAATAAGATTTCTTATGAAATATATTAACCTACTTAACTATTTCGCATATGTGGAAAACTAATAAGAATAAGTGAAACTGGCAAGCAAACTATATAGGTTAAACGAAATTTCTTTTTAATATTTTTTTGGGAATACACATACCTCAGGATGTCTACTCCAGCAGTTGCATACAAATTGGAATCAATATAATGTAATTTATCTTGCAATTTTCGACCGACTATATAACAACCAAGAACGCCTATGTTGGATGTAAACAGATTTCTTGAGTGCAACACAGATGTCAAAATCCTTATAGTATTCTTATATGTTTGAAGTTGAGGATTTGAAGAGCATGAAATGAAATAATTGTAATAGACTAAAATAGAGAAAGTGTAGGAGAAGTTGCAAATTGTAACGTATATCTCAATTCTGTACAAACAGTTAGGAAGAGGTGTATATAATATTTTGTAATTTCAATTTTCTTTCTGAGTTCAACGATTTTTTATTTTTATTTTTTGTCCCTTTTTTTTTATTTGTACAAAATATCCTAGTAGTCGGGAGGGAATTTACGTAACAAAGTTGGAATTGATGTTGTGGACAAAACGTGTACAAGTTGTTGTGGGCAACACGTATAAAAAGAAGTTGTCATTTGCCTTCAGGCATCCTTCAATAGCCAATGAGGATGCAAAGTGGGTTGTGAAGTCAATACTTGTCGCTATAGATGGGTAGAAATCCAAATCATCATCAATAATTAAATGAATAATAAAAGAGATATAGAAATGAACAGTAATCAGCGTGGTAACTTAGGTAGCAAGAAAAGGATAAAAACAGAATTGGGAAACAAATAATAGTAGGCATATAAACGGTGGATTCGCCGAGAGAAGAGAAGGGTAACAAGTTAACAATTGTAGGCATGTGTGGTAGGGAAAAATCCATTTCATGAGGAAAAATCCAAATCATGAGTAAAGTTGCATTGGCATTAAAAAAGCTTCATAATATATAAACAAGTTGAAAGTCAACAATTGTGGGCATGTGTGGTAGAAGAAATCCAAATCGTGGGTAGGGAAGAATTAGGGATAAAAAAGCTTCATCAATGAACAGTGATCTTTTTAATATAGTAGGAATTATAGCGTACATAATCTTTGTTGACAAAATTTGAAGGATGAAAAATCTCTCTCTTAAACTTTCAAATGATAGCTACACACGTGATAGTGTAAAACTTAGTGTACACTATAATGTACATCAAGCATGATTGATGTGAATTGGCATTGGATCTAAACCACTACCATCATTGTGTCCAAAGTGAAGGGAAAAATTGAGGTGAGGATAGCAATTAGTCAAGTTGACTCGCTCGGCATGATCACTCAAGTTCAATTCGACTTGTTGAACGAGTCTTGTTCGTCTCGTTGGTCAACGAGCAGTTCATCTTGACTTGTTGACCAAAAGGCTTGTGTAGGGTTCTTTTAAATTGGTTCACGAACTCTTGTAAATTTTTATAAATAAATATAATTTATTAACAGAAATTAAATATAACTTTAGAAACCTCTTCTTCTGGATTTGGGATCGACTCGTCAGACAGGACTCGATCTTGCCTAGCTAAACATGGAATTCGATTCGACTCGACTCTAGGCTATTTAAATGTGGGCCGAAGTCGTCACTGGTTGGAGCTCTCCCGAGCGGGCTAGGGCCCATTGCACCTAATTTGAGGTAATTTTTTAGAGTAATAGAAATTAGTAGTGCGTTAGTAGGCAAATTAGATATGTAATTAAAATTTAAGTTTGATTTTCACATTGTAAAAAGTACTTATATCTCACCTCTTCTAATTTCTCTTTTATCTTTCTTCGTTCCTCATATTTCTTTTCCTCTTTACTAGTTGAACAACGTCAATGAAGAATACAACTTTAAATCATTATTAAAGACATACATAGTTAATTACATAATAAATCACAAAAATTTGAATATAACTAAAATCCAACAAATACATGCTAACATCAAGAAAACATGTGTTGATCACGAAAATGTATACATTTTCTTTTTTCGTTGTGCAAACACATAATTTGACAGCTTAAGTTGTCAAGATTTGTTGGTAGTGGGGTTAACAAAATGGAAGCATGTTTTCACAGCAACACTAGTCCTTTTCATTGACTACTTCTATTAGATAGGACGAGTTTTAAGTAGTCTCCTCCACCAACTTGCATAAAGATGATCTTGTTCAGATATTGATCGACTTACCAATTTTATGGCCGATTCAAGTTTTGAAGTGGAATCACTTTTGCCTTGTGTAGCGCTTGAAGCTTCTTCTAACCAATGACAAACATTTCTCCATTCGAGTTGTAATAATGGCTTGTCATTTACTTGAGCCTAAAAGTTTTATTGGCACAAAAGCCAAATGCACGCATTACACTAGGAGCCAATGCACTTTTCTAATCCACAATGCTCATGTTCATCGAGGTTTCAACTCTTATATCACTACATACTTTCGCGGCTACTATCAACTATAGTCGAATTTAAAGAGCCATATGACTTCAAGGTTATTGCTCGCTTCCTTTACTTCCCCATAGAGGTTGCTCTCAATTATACATTCAAGAGCTTGGGAGACTAGGAAAAAGAAAGGAAGGATAGGTAGAGATGTCAATGAGTGGAACATGCAGCAATAGCCATGAGAACAACGTAAAAAAAAGTGATGTACAAAACAAGGGGGGAATTATGGAAGAGAATGTGTGGAATGAGGAAAGAATTACGAAATGAGAGAAGCAGAAAACGATTTATGATGCACAAAACACAGATCAATGAACGAAGAATTAAGAAGAAACCTCTTTTCATTTCCACTCACAAACTTGGAAAACATACAATCGCTTTTAATTTTAAAACGGTGACTGGAATTGAGAAATAAAATCTAGTTTCGCAGGGTTATGAAGAATTTTTGTTGTAGAGAAGTGACTGTGCAAATATAATAAAAGATGGAGGACCAACTTGATCATTTCACAAACTATGGGTAAGATACCTTCAGAGCAATTTCCCGTTAGATTGCTACACAGAAGAGTAGAATGGAAGGGGGAAGCACGGAAAGAGCAGCCATGGCAGCAGTGGAAGAAGCAAAGAAAAGATGCAGTGCTCTTACACAGCGAATCATTCACTCGGAGAAACTTTCCAAATTATCATCGAAAACAACCCTTCTCAGATTAATCCAATCCGAGCTCTCTTTTCTTCATCGCCTGTCTCCTCCCTTTTCTTCTGCCCCTCTCAGGTATAACAATTTTTTTTTACATTCTAATGATTGCCCATGTGATGTGAAGATGTAAATATTTGCTTGAATTGGAACAAGTTTTTCATGAGTTGAATTCGTGGCAGTGTCAATATTGGGCATCTGGAGGCCATTGCGCACGTTCTTCAGCAGCCATTCGTAACTGGGGTATCGCGCGTCTGCAAGCCAGTTGTTCTGTCGCCTTCGAAAAGGATCTATGTTGATATAGTATGTAGTTTGAATGGAAACCCTGTGTGGTTTATTGTCTCGGATAGGAACCCCAGATATATTTTTTGGGACAGAAACGAGGGTTTAAAGACACGAATTCGATTACTTCTTGATGCGGCAAACGAGTCCCCTGTAACGCTAAGGCCATCTTCTATCATCTTCTTCTTTGCTAATGGACTTGATGATGGTGATTGTCAGAAATTTAGGGATGAATTTGGAGCCACTGAATTAGAACTTGATTCATTTTCGTATGAAGAGTTACAATTAGAGGAAGACTGGACAAATGTGAATCTAATTGGAAGGTCATTCCCAAAGTCTTGTGTTCTTCAAATAAGGGTCGGAACAAATGGCTTTGGTATGAACGATAAACATCTTTTGCATTCTGCAGGGGAAGATACCCTATCATCTTGCAAGAAGAACATTGAGTCCTGTGATTTGAATTTAGGCATGTCTTTCTGTTCTCTTGTTTCTGGATTGAAATGCGGCTGCTGCTCTTTGGATTTGTATGCAGGACTTGAGGATGGGTCATCAAAGGATTTGTTGGATGGGATTAGAGCCAAATTAGTTAATTTTGATACGACAGCAATGATAGCTATCGTGTCGGGAATCAGTAATGGAGGGACTGAGAAACTTTTGGCTAAACCAGAGAGCGAATTGAGGGGTCGATTTAAAAGCAACTATGAGTTCGTGATTGCACAGGTATGGTCTAAGGGAAACAAGGTTATATTATTTCGAAGAAATTGTTTCTCATCTTCATAAGAAGATCGTTCTATTATTGTACTGTTTGCTTCTTAGGCAAAACCATAATGTTTATCTACAGAGAATCCATCAATGGAAGCTGTTATTTGCAAACTCCTGCATTTAACATACTCTAGACTTCCTGTAAGGTGAATCTACAGCATGATGTGGCCTGTGTGGGAAAAACTCATCTTCTCAAATTCACTAGTGAACTATCTTTCTAATATTGACTAGACAATGCATTATGCTCGTTGTAGTTTCTAACTGTGTATAGACTATAGAGGAACATATGAAGTCCTTAGTCCTTCACATGCTGAATTTCAATTGGTGAGTGAGTTTATGAGAAGAGAACTGACCAGTTGAAAATACTCGTAGCCTTTTCTTGCTAAGCGTTCCTTATATATTCACGACTACCATTATTTATAAGCCGGCCATAGCAAAATTGTAAACTAGAGCAATATCATGCAACAATTGTTGCTAAATGAATTTGAAAATAGAAATTAGCTTTTTATACCACCCACTTACAGATTCTCAGTTTTCTGGAGCAAAATGACTAAATATGTGCGTATCTCTGCCAATGCCGTTACTCTCGTCTTTTACAGTTTTCAGCAGAGAATATATTGTGACGAATCAGTGACAAGCTATTTTAGTTTAATACGAGTGACTTAATTAAATCACTCAAAAGACTAAAAAAAACTCAAAACTGAAACATTACTTATAGAATACATATTCACTCTCTAGAGTGCTGCTACCTGTGGTATATGATTGTTATTTTGAGTTTACAATTGATTTTGATTCTCACTCTCTTCTGTTAAGTTAATGTTTCTTTTCTAGCGACTTAAAATAGTTCATTTGATATACTATTTTCAACAAAGATAAAGTTGAGGGAAATAATTTTTTTTTTAAAGTTGTTTTTATTGTATCCTTCAGTATTACTGACTTCTGCTGTTACAATGTAGTCTAAACTTGTGAGATGGAATTTGTGTTCTCTTATTCTTGTATAGTGATCATGTGTGCCACATAAATTTGATGAATGTATAAATCTTGATGTCTTGCTAGGTCAACTCCGAAATCCAGAACCCGATCCATGGGGAACTGGCTGGTGTAATATCAGGAAAGATAGGTATTATATGTGAAAGCGTTCATTCAGAATGTCAGGAGCTTATCTCAATGTGCGGTGGTCCTAATGAGATATCAAGAGCCAACCACTTTCTGAAGTTCCTCAAGTGAGTTCCAACACCACTTTAGTTTTTAGTTTCTTCCTTTTAGAAGACATGGTCATTCCCATCCTTCCCAAAAAGGGAAGATTAAGGAACGAAAATTTCATATTGAAACTTGCAAGTCTGAGAAGAAACACCCTTTCCCTGTATTGATGCGGGTAGAAAAATCGGAAAAGAAATAGTAATATCATTTCTTCACTCACTGCCCCCAAATTGGCATTAACAGTGATGGTATAGTTATTGTTCTTTTAATCTGTATTTGTTAATTAGTAGCTTATAACTGGGACAGGGTAGTGCCTGATTGTCCTTCAACACGATTGATGAACCTTCCGACGACCAGAAAAATGGCCTTGAAAAACAAGGTAGTTTTTGGTACTGGGGACTACTGGCACGGTCCTACTGTAACTGCAAATATGGCTTTTGTCAGAGCTGTTTCACAGACAGGGATGTCTCTGTTTGTAATAGAGCATAGGCCGCGGGCACTAGTTGGTGACTGAGTATGCAAACAGACATTCTTATATGTTGGAAGAGAGTAAACTGCGTCCCCATTGCTTCCTCCGTTGTATATTTTGCAAGGAAATTATGGTCACTTGGTGCTAATGATTTACCATCCTCAAGGAATCATTTGTTTTTCTTGCTTCGTTGATTGGATATATCCTTCCATTGCCTGGGTTAAAACATGTTGCATATTTCCAGAGAAGTATGCTATAATTTTGACCTGCATTACCTACCTTCATTTATTTGTAAGATAGACTTTGTACTTTTTTCATGGGTGATAGTTTGTGATTCGTTGAATAGTTTAGCTCTTCTGGAGTTGCAGCCAGAATGGAACTTGGTTTGTTACTGATTTTTATTGTTTTAGTTTTTCCTTTGTTCTATGCAATAGAAGTACTCCTTGTACCCTTCTTTTATGTGGTACTAATAAAATTCCCCTTTTTTTCTTTAAAATATAAACGGATCCTCAAGTCTTTTTCCCTCCTGACGAATTGACAGATTTAGTTATATTAGTTTCTTTTGAAATAGATTCAATGACAGGACTTAGTTTCAAGAATTTCAGGAAAACAAATTAGAAATGATACATTATTTATCTTCTCAACATGCAGACACTCTGTGCAAGTAAACTGTTTATACTGAAATCGAAAAATTTGTATGCGTAAGACATTAAAAAGAAAAGAAAAAAAGATGGTGGAAAGATGTTCAGAGCTTGAGTCCAAAACTGCAAGTACTGGCTTTGATGCTAATTATACTATTAGTTGACAGGCTATCAACGACCAACTTGCAGGTGCCAATGATCTTCACCTTCCTCAGTTTGAGAGTCTTAAGTTTGATGCTGACTGGCTCATTAATCTTGAGATCCAATGGAATTCTTCCAGTCTGTTGCTGCTCCTGTAATGCCTCCAGAAGAGTCCTCCCATATTGATTTTGGCCACTCAAGGCCACATTTAGCACTGTCTTATTCTGGTAACCTTGGTAGAATCTGGGAATTGATCCTTGGCAAAGGTTTATGTTCTTGTACCATACACTTAAATGGCTCCCTTTCTCGTAGTATATTCCGATATTCTTATTCGGGTTATAGGCAGTGATCTTCACGTTGAACCTCGCGTAGAGGCTCAAGTCAAAATTGAGTGTCAGATCTGATATTCTGAGATTGTCAACTGAGTATATGGGAAGCTTGGGTTGAAATACTAGGTAAAGAATGCCAATAGTAGCTCCAATAATGATGAGTAGGAGAATGAGTAAGCTAATTGTCCAGCAGATGCATTTGCACAAACAGCTTTTCTTCTTCTTAGGTGGTGGTGGCACGACTGGATAGGTAACATTGCGTCTCATTGGAACATGATGCTGCCCCTGCCCTCGTGGCTCGACTTTTTCTGATCGAAGAATAGAACCTAGAGGAGCCGAAGGGCGTGGAGGTTGAGCTTCGGGGCTGACCTCCACCGGATGAATTCTTTGATGGTCTGCCATTGTTCTACCTCCTTTTCTGTATTGTAATTCTTCAATTTGAGTAGTTAATAACTTGATGTAATGAACAAATCAAAGATTCCAACAATGTTGAATACAATACGTATTTATGTAAACGTGTATACTATGAAATGGTTGGTTGTAACCATTCTTACCTAATAGCAACATAAATGCATGCAATGTGGAAGAAGTAGGTCAGCTGCACGTAATTAACTTATTATTGTAAAGTAATTATCTCCATCAAACACCGGACACAAAAAATATAGATCAAGTAAAAGAACCAGTTTTTTTTCATTTAGACACGTGCATGAGGTCTTTTGATGTTCTTTTTGGACCTATGGTTTTCATTTGTTGACCTAACTCTAGTTTTTCTGTCAAATATGGTGGAAATGTTGTATTTGGTCACTCAAGTTGTGTGACATAGGATTGAAGAATAAATGGATGAAATTATTTTTTTGGTTCAAATTTGTCCCATCCCATGTGCTTAGTTTTCATTGGGTAGGCAATGACTTCAACTCGTCAAAATTTAAGGGCGAAGGGGCGTGCTTCTATCTATAATATAGTAAGTCTTTTTGTCCCAAGCAAATAAGAACATACTTTGGCATAATTCCTTTCGATAGATGAGATTTGAATGTCTAAGCCACACGAACAGCTACGGAGAGGATCCTTCTATGCACTTGTCATTGTTGTCAAGCAGCAGGAATGATGATAGGCAAGTTTAGGACGAGGATCCCGTTCCCCGCTCCATCACCCCTTATTCGAGGTCGGGACAGGGAGCTCCAAGTTCCCGTTTGTAGCCATGTTTATAATTATTTGTTTTTATTTTAAATGTTAATTATATAAATTAAGCTTAACAACAATATAATTATATTATTGTTATAAATTATTTTAAAAGTTACTGTACTATTTTTAACATAAATATGATGATAAAAAATAATTTTATTAGTCGAGACAGGTAAGGGAATGACTAAGCAAGACATCTCCCGTCCCATCCAGTCCCGTCCCCCCGATTAAACGGGTAATTCCCGTCCTGTTCGGGATGGGTCCCCGCGAGAATCTGAGAATCCCCGCTCATTTTCCATCCATAAGAAGGGATCATCTCCAAAAGAAAAGGGGAAAAAACATCTTGAATATGAGATGGGAGAAAACTTCATTTTAACCCCAAAAGGGGGGGAAAAATTGAATAGCTAGGAATTTTTTCGTCTAAAACTTTTGGATGAAATGATTCCCATACCACGTCCTCATCAAAATTTAAGAAAGGTGGACGCATATACAACCTCTGTTCGGCCGACATTTTTTAAAACTCATTTTTTTCTCAAATTTATTTTCAACCACACTCTCAATTAAAATAATTTCTTACGCCGTAACTTTTCCCTACTTTTAGACACATTCTCCAAAGGAAATTACTTTTCACAAAATCTATTATCAAAAAATCTCTACCAAACTGAGGCACAATAAACAACTAAACAGAGCTCCCTAAACACAACTATTTGGAAACTTAACAGTAACATTACAGCTGCAGTAATCATAAATTAAAACAGTTCCTGATAATTTAAGTCTGCCTTCACATACCAACGTCCAAGCTGCTAAATCAGACAAACCTACAAGCTGGTCTTGCATGATGCTTTGTTATGCCCGAGTTGCTTGCACTTCGAACAAGTGACTGTCCTCTTATCTGGATCCTCTATTTTGATCTTTGCCTTGTGTTGTTGATCTGGTGATCGAGGGGGAGGAGGAAGCACATGCGTGGCGTCAGAATCAGTCTCTTCGGTTCCCACTGGTGCACCAATTTCAGGAATATGGTTTATGGACTCTGAATATGTCGACTTGTAAGCATCAATGCTGAAGTGTCTTGGACAATAATCATACACACTCTTCCTAGCAATATTGAAGGAAGCGATAGCATGTCGACATGGTAATCCACATTCTTTCCATTCTAGGCAAGTACAATCCTGTTTCTCAATATTCACTACATGAGTAGATTCGTCATGAACCTCAAATAGAGTATCTGATGCCATAAACACTTGCAGATTTTCTGCTTTAAAAGCTTCGTCCTGGATCTTTTTCTCTTTGGATGGAGTGAGTTTTGTAGTCCATTTACTTGACTCTGTTTGACGAGTATTTATCAATTCACTCACCATGCATATTAGGCTTTCTATCTTCTGCATTATAGTTGATTCCCGTATTTCCTCCATCAGCTTAGCATATGGTTCTGCTACATGTTGTGTGATATGGTTATATGGCTCACCTTTGAATAGCGAACTTGTCCACTGCTCCGGCTCAATTTGAATAACCCAATCATAAGCATTTGGAGAAATCTCTCTAATCTGCTCGGTGAACTTTTTGAAAACATTGAGTCGAGCTGCATGTCCAGCAGCTAGAAACAGTCCAGGTAAGGCACCTCGTCCTTCCCCATTGAATGGCCCCTTCGAGTTTCTCCTGAAACTTTCTACAAGGTGGTACATGGAATAACCATGATGAGCATTCTCAAATACCTTTAGCACTGACTCCTTTAATCCCATCTCTCTATCTGAGACAAAAGTTATGGGTTGTGATGTTGATATTGCACATTTTAGTTGCTCCAGAAACAAATGCCAGTTATTGTCATTTTCAACATCGACTATTCCAAATGCAACAGGGAAGGAACCGTCATCTGCATCAACTGCAGTAGCTGTTAACAAACTTTCTTGGTGCTTTGATCTCAGAGAAGTGGCATCAAGAAAAAGAATGGGACGGCAACCATTCTGGAAACCATTTATACAGGAAAGAAATGAGATGAAAAGGCATTTAAGTCTTTTCTCATCATCAGTGATCAGCTTGGCAAAACTACCAGGATTTGTCTCCACCACCTTCTCGCAGATCCAAGGCAATCGATTGTATGACTCTTTATATGAACCCTGAAGTTGCTCCCTGGCATACTCAATTCCACGCCAAACTTGTGTGTAACTCAATTCAATTCCAAAGTCCCTTGAAATGCTCTTTGCAATTTCCCTGGGTTTCTGATGTGGGGAATTTCGTAATTTGTCCTTTATAACATTTGCCAACCAATTCTTGGATGGATGAGCATTCTTCCAAGATTCCCCTCCACATGTATGTGTATTGTCAAACTTTTTTATCCTAAACGACTCGTCAGCAGGAACCCAAGATGCATGAATTTTCCAAGAACAGCCCTCCGCAATACATATGCCACTCACACGATTAGCGTCATTCTTTTTCAATTTGTAAACAAAGCGGTGAGCAACAGCATACTTCTGCAGTGCCTCCCGAAATTCTTTCACACTTTTGAAATCCTGCCCCACACCAGTAATACGATCTTTCCATTCAGCAACTACTTTCTCTGGCAAATCATCATCATAGAAAGCAATAGCTGAGACACTATCATCACTTACAGCAACAGTACTTTTATTTTGGTTCTTCCTTTTCCGCGATCTTCTTTCTACATCATTATCACCAACTGCAACCACCATTGGACCGTGTGCACCACTCTTCCATGAGGCAGTGCGCCTCCGCTTTTTAACCGCATCTGCTGGGCTATTACTTGTATCAATGCCAGTTGGGCTTGGAGAATTTATGTCAAAAGCAACAGATACGCGCGGCTTATAATCAGAATCGTAATCGGAATCATGTTCAGAAGATGGAGATGAGGCAGTCGATGCATGACTGCCGCTTGAACCGTCAGCATCAGACGCTGCAGCAGAACCAGTAGGAGCATGAAGAGGAGCATAAGCATCAAGTTCAGCAATAGCATGGGCAGAGAGAGGTTCAACATCAAGGGCAACTGTATTGATAGAAGTTGAGGGTGCGCCAACATGATTTACGGTCTCTGCCAGTTTTATAACATTTTCCCTGCAAGTGGAATTCATGTATTTACATGCAGGCATGTCAAAAAATATTTTTCCCAGCCAAGTGCCACTAACCAATCACCACATCATGGAACAGAGAGTTTCAGAATTTCACTATCGAAAGTGTAGTATAATGTAGGGTTTGCCAACATTTTTCTACTGAAATCTTCTCTAAGGTGGTGTGCAGTGGCCGGCAAAAGGCTGGAATCACAAGAGAACTCACACTGACAACAAAATAAATGTGTGGAAGTACTTGATAAACAAGATTGCACCTCAGATTTATACCTGCTAGCATGTATTTTGATGGCATCACGGTCAAATCCTTCTTTACCATTGACAAAAACATCGGCAGTCACTGAATGCCCATGAAAATCAATCATTCTTTTCAAGTCTTTGTTATTTCTCAAAGTGATGAGATTCCTCCTGTTTCCTGGGAGAAAGTACTTGATCGAAATTGTTCGGTGATCTAAATTAGACATTTCAGCCAATTTCATTATCAGATCTTCAAAAGAAGTATCTTGATTTATATTCACAGCATTTGCCTCTCCTCCCTCGTATGATAAGGTTCCATCATCATGGGTAATAAACTCACCACCAGACTGGCAAATCAATATAAGCTTCCCTTTTGTCATGGAAAGTATCTTCAGCAGATAAAGTCAAGAATCAGAAAAGGAAAAAAGATATCACCTCCAGTTTTTGTACTTCTAAAAGATCTGTTAAGGTTTTTATTTCTTTCCAATTCAAATAAGCAGTGATTTTTCCCGTTCATCCATTTTCGAGGTATGTGCAGACAAGAAGTTGGTGAAAGAAATTATAAACCTTAACAATTTCCCAAAACTATCAGAAGTAACATTAGAAGCAGATGTCCAATACAATGCCTATTTGTAGATCCCTAACGAAATTGTTTACTGTGAATAAAATGGTGAGTATGTAAAGATATCAATTAATCATTAAGAAGATATCAATAGTCATTCTATAGGTTGCCACCAAGTTCATTTCTCATTCCCAGTATAAAACTTTTGGATATTAAAAAAAATCAGAAACATATCTAAGGTGACAAAAGAACAATTACTTATCTCAACAGTATGCATGATACAATCGATAAGAAAAAACAAACAAATAAGGAAAGTCTCAGCTTTCAGTTCGATATGGGGAAAGGAAAGGAAAAGGAAAGTGGTTAGGAGAGGAACCCATTTCCACATAATAAAGCAACAGCCATCTTTTAGATGTTATATCCAAAATAATTAATAAATAAACAATATCATCGTTCAAGAAAATAATATCTTTGCTCAAGCAAATTATTGGATATTTTAGTCTCTATCCAGAACACATTGAAAATAATATTTGTTTTCTGGCATATAATACACCTCTAGCAATAGAAAAGGCATTGAAACATTTCTGGGGGTAGAAAAGCATAATGTTATCTTAGAAGTCAATGATGTGAAGAGTCATTTCAGTGGTAAATAGATAAATATCATATATATTTGAGACACCCTGGAGTTTTTCTACCAAAAGTAACTGAAACTATACCCAGATGTTACCAGAAGCAAGGCAACCATACACCTTTTTCTCAAATATGAGAGCACGTGTCATAAAAGTACTTTCAGATGCTTTAAAAAAGACGCTTCGATAATATCCGTGTATGGCATGACACGTTAAACGATCACATAAGATATTCATAGGAATGATTGCCACCACATTTGTTGGTCATATTGTCATCATTCCAAATACCAAAATGGAGAGCATAATTCATTTTTAACTTGTCACTCCACTTTAGAAAAGTATTTTGTTATATCAGGCCTCAAATTACACAACTATTCTCATGTAAACATCCTTGGTGAAACTTTTAAACGGATAAGAACCGACTCATACAAACTAGCAGTCAGCCAATCACAGATATTTATAATGTCCCTGGCTATGGACTGCACTCCTAAAGCACGGAACACATAGTATGTTGTCCATTCAAAATAACATCATATGAACAATAAAAACATTGATTCAAAACAAGAACACAAAATAGAAGTAGGAGCTAAACCAATGTTTTGAAAACCATAAAATTGCTATAAAAAAAATGGAGAGCACAATCTCTCTGTGAAATAAAAATTCTTTATCTTTAATCTGATTTACATGTCAATTTCTAAGAGATAACCGAACAATAAATCATATGAAAGTAAAATGCCAACTTATTTATCTTTATACATAAAATTTCAAAAAAGAAAACAAAACGATTAATTTAATTGTTAGTTATAATAACACTCGATGAGAGTATTTTCAGGAGCTTGCTCCTTGAACCAGACGACCAGCAATTAAATTAGCAGTCCATTACACAAAATGTGAACACAAGGGGTCCTCCCACCACAGCTGCAAACTACTCTCCTTGGGTTTTATTCACAATCTCATTACACGTATAAATAATACATTTAAATTGTGGTTATCAACAAAAGTCATAAGAATTCTTCAAATAAAAAATATAGGATAGAAGTAAATTTTTTTTTTCACACGTTAAATAGAATAACAATCAAAAATTAAGATCAGCTTCAGGATGATGAAAAATCAGAAACGGTGACACGGAATCGTAACTCAACGAACAACATTACTATAACTGTCTATGGAAGCCGGAAAATTACCATTAAGCAATCAATTAAGTCAATTCAGAACATAAAAATTCCAAATATTGACTGTAAAAACACTGGTGACAGCAAAATATGACTATGAATGAAGAGTGCATGCAGATGAATGATAAGACAAATAAATAAACATTAAATAACCAACTACACATTCAAAAAAGCTACGAATCAGTCAGTAAAAGTGAAAAGTCGAGTTGAGAAAGAAATTACCGGAGTGAGTGGAGAAGGTGGGGGGAGATGGAGGAAAGCCCTAGAATCGGGGGCTGAAATAGAAATTGGGGATAAAAGTGAGACCGACGGGCTAAATGAAGGATAGGGGACCAAAACTAGCTAAAGTTGCAATTTTAAAGCATAAGTTGGGGTTTTATTTTATTTTTTATAGAAGGTTTTTTTTTTTCCCTTGAAACTAGGAGCCGTTTTTTTTTTTTTTTTTTTTTTGAAAAATTGTTTTTTTTTTTTTGGGTTTAAGTTCTTTTTTTTTCCTTTTAAATTTTTTCCGTTTTTTTTTTTTTTTACATAAATGTTTTAGAAATAAATTTTATAAAATACAATTTTTATTTTTTGGAGAATATATCGTTAAAAAGTAATAAAAATTTATGAATTCATTTAAAAAATATTTTATTAAAAAAAATGTATCGCCGAAAAATAAATTTTAAAGAATCTATCAAACATTAACTAATTAATATTTATGGTTGGAAATATCATCTATAATTGAGATAATAAAAACATAAAAAATTATCGGTAATGAAATAATAGCTTAAAAAATAACTTAATCGACAATAAATTATGACTAAGGAAATAAAAAGAAAGTTTTTTTTTTTTGAAAAAAAGTATAGTCTTTCATTGATTACACCAACAACTTCATTGTCAACCATCAGCACACAAGAAGTGCCGTTGGTGATTCTAGATGACATTATCGATGACATTTTCGTAGAAAATCACTGACATTTTTGTATTTCTATTATAATTGATATTATACATGTTAGTAATTCCATGAAGCCACTAGCAAAATATTTAATTTTTTAGTAATAAAATAACTTTGTTTTAGCTATCTAAATTGGTTGAGTCGCCTCTACAGTCTACTCTAGATATGTTCAAGAAAATTGAAAAAATATTTTTAAAAAAATTGATTTATGCTTCAAGTTTTCAATAAGCACTATTGGAAATGATTTAAGCCCATGTTTGGTATGGGTTGAAATCAAAATTTTAGTAGATTTTGATAAAAGTTGATGAAATGTTAAAAAAGTTGTGGGACCCATAAAATGTATAGTAGAAATAAATTGTTGAATTTCATTTAAATTCAAATCCAAATTTTAATCCGTACCAAACATGAGCTTAGAGTTTTGATTGAAAGAATTTTTTCCAAACAAATGATGATTTTTGAAGAATGCTTGACTAAAAGTAAGAAAAAGTTATGATCACACGGAGTGTGAAATTGAAAATAATTTTGAGAAAAACGATTTAAAAAAATCTCTTCCAAACAAATCATTATTTGATGTGAATTATTGATGCATGTCTTATGTTTTGTTCACATCTTGTGAGTTATTGGGATTTAAATTTGCAATAATTTATGATGCTATAATATTAGGGAAATTGTATCATATTGTGATTGATTATTGAGATGTGTCATAAAAAAGTATTTGTGATTTTAAAACTAATATGTTTTCATTAGTGAGGTTAAAAATAGGTTAGGTTGTCTAGGTACAAGATAACCTATCCCGTTAAAACTCGGATTGAAACAGGCTATTCCCAAAGGATGATTTCAGTTTTTGAATATTCAAACTGATCCACACACATACAAGACTGATCTCCTAAATATAGGCGCATAGTTTATACTAAGTACTTGGGTAACATTCACCCTACAATAGGTTGTGGGAGATAATGATGTGACACGTCACCTACTGCTTAATATAAGCTAAGCATCGATGACGTATAGTATAAATTCACGGATGGATTTTAAACTTAATTCGAATATTAAGGTTCACCATAAATTTATGGAAAATTCTATTTGTACAATCGAGGTTGACAACCTCAATTGACAATCTCTCACGTGTTCGAGTCCGCATGTTTAAAAAAAAAAGTGGACCCTCCATGTGAGTCGGTGTCAACCTCGGTTGTATAACTAGTATGACTCTAAGTATATTTATCAATGAATTTATATGACATGTCATCGATATTTAATAAGAGATGAATACTAGTGCTCATTGAATCATTCATGTATGTGTGTGTGTGTGTATTTGAGAATCCGTTGCATGGAATTTGAGAAGACGAGATACTAAAATTAAGCCCTTGTTTGGTTTAATCAAAAAAATTAGATCAAAAAATTTATGTTAAAATCAATAATTAATTTTAGATACACATTTCATTGAATCTACAACTTTTCAATCATACATTTCATAACTTTTTATCAAAATCTAATAAAAAATTGATTTTCATATAAGCCAAACAAGAGATAAATTATAAATTATTTTAATCAAAATAATATTAATTGAATAAGAAATCATAATTGAAGGATGAATAAGAACTTATAAAATATTAGAGATAAAATAATCATCCTACAATATTTCTTCAACATTACAACTTTTGTGCATAATAAATATAACGGTCCATGTTTGGTGGAAAATAAAATCAAAATTTTAATTCAAGGAAAAGTCAAAAATTAATTTTAATTATACATTTTATGTGATCCATAAATTTTCAACCATACATTACATCAATTTAAATTTATTAAAAGATTTAATTTTAATCTCCACCATACAGGACATAATACAACATAAACTTTCCTTGGCTTTTCTGCTTTCGAGCTTTTAGATTATCCACAAGCCACAGGTCAACCTCTTTTCCAATAAAGTTACATGTACAATTTGTCTATAAAGGCACTTTTATATAAAAGAAAAATACAGATATTTCATCTATCAAGTCGAACATTGTAGTACTTCAAAAATTTCATCTCACATATATACAAACAATTCATTGCTTTTGTTCCTTGGACTTGTAAATCACTGAAATTTCACAAACAGCCCAGTAAAATATGAGATTCTAGCCTAAATCAATATATTATCCACTTCAAGTGGAAAATAACAAAAATGATTTATTGCTTCTGTTACATTTTAAGATTTTTGACAAAAATGTTACTTTTGGACCTTTTTCCCTTCTAAAAATTTTAAATATCTTACATATCCTTCATTAATTTTTTAATTGACTAGTTGAAAAAATTGTATCAAAAAGTCGAAAACATCACGCCAAACTCACCCCCACTCCCACGTACTAAAACCACAACCCACCCCCATTGCTGGAATTTTCTCTTTTTCTTCCTCACATCCTCGTCCTCCTCTTCCATTGCTTAAAAATAAACCATAAACCATGCCTTCTATGATCGATAAAACACCCCACTCTGAAGTAATCGCTCCTCATTTTCACTTCTTTCTCAAGTGGTTAATTTTTTGTTCCATTGTATGTATCAAAATTGACAGAGGGCGAGAAGTTTGTATTCCCAAAAGAAACAGCAAGAAAGTGGCTCGGTTTTCTTTTCATTTCTAACACAAGGTATATTCATCTCCCATTGTTTTTCATTAACTAACGTTTAAGATTTTTAAATTTTTTTAATATTATTCGAAATATTGGGTTTTGGGCCAAATATGTATAATTTTTTTTTAGGAAGTTGTATTTTTATCTCTAATGGGTAGCGGGTTTGCCTCGAAATTAGATTATACATGTCTATTGTGGTTCATTTTCTCATGAATTAACTTATTGTAAGGGATTTAGGGTGTGCTTGGATGTAGGTTGAATTTGCGGTTTATTAGCATATACATTTCCAATGTGGTTTATTAGAATATACATGTTCATAGTAGTTTCAACAATGTATGTTGAATTTGTGGATTGATATATTCAGTATATTGCAATGTGGGTCAAGTTGTTGATTCATAGCTTAGGTAACGTGATTCATTCTCTAGTCATTATATGGCTCATTCTATGTTTTATTCTATGGTTGATTCAATTTGTTGCAATGTAGTCCATTCTATGGTCATTGTGAATTAGAAAGTTTGATTCATGTTTGCACCCGGGGAGTTTCTTTAAAGTACAGACGGGACATCTGTCGAGAAAATCAGTCATTCTTGATAGATAGTTACTGAATTTCTCGACAGCTATAATAAAATGAAAATGTGTTTGAATTGCTTCACTAAGTGTCGTACAAATTTATTACATTTTAAATCATCCTCTAACATTAGAATTTGTTCATGTTAATGGAGTTGCAAATGGATTTCGAACTCTCTACACTAAGAGTGGCTGGAAGAGATGGAAGAATAGTATACAATGGGACTTCATTGACTCGGACAACTATGTGTTGCTTTTGGACTTATAATTTATTTTATTATTTTGAAGTTATATCATGACGTGTACGTCAAACAACTTATTTTTATGTTTGTTTAGTTCATGTTCATGTGTGAAAAGACATTTATATTGTGTAGCAAGTCGAACTATCCATATATTTATAAGGAATCGTTTGTAAATATGTTAGATAATCAACGATACTACTACTAAATTTCTTTCTCCCAACTTGGATGATGTTTCTGACCAATCATCTCAATCGCTAAACCACGAAGTCGATTGATCGTAATATTGTGCGTCCGATTAATAGTAAAAAGTAAAACATATTTTATACCCGAATAAAAGTTGCAACAGTAATAACACAAAAATGACAATACAACATAAACCACGAACATCATAATTGTAATGTACAAAATACAACTTCAAGCCTTAAACATCATTCAATTTTACATGCTTGGTGTTGGAACAAAGTTCGAATATATTGCCGGATTGTGCCCAACTCTCCCCCATGCGACACAATGGATTTTAGATTGTTATTTATACTTGAAAATTTGAGACATTGATGATCAGCATTCGGCACAATTCATATATCGGACTTTAATTTCATGCTAGTGACAGCTACAAATAAACTATGCCAAACAGTAGCAAACTAGTGAGACTAACAGGTCAAATGTCTTTCCTGACATTTACAAGTGTCGAGTTCGATATTATAACTGTCGGTCTTCACATTCTAGTTTGAAAGTTGAATTGTCGGTATTTACAATTAGCACTTAACGGAAAGCATTTAATGGGTTTAATTGTAATACATTCTTCATAGCATTAAGTGTGTATTTAAATGCTCAACTACCAAATTAAAAAAATATTTACAAAGAATTTACACAATACTTTACTAAGTCTCTGTTTGATGCACATTTTTTCCCCAATAATGCATTTTGTTTTATGTGATAGGGAATATGTGGTTGAAAAATAAGGAAAAATTATCGATGTGATGAAAAATATTATTTTATTGAAAAATGTGTTGTTTAAAATGAGTAAAAGAAAGAGAGTGAAAAAATAATGTGATTCAAACAGGGGCTAAATAGGAAATCCCCAACAAAATTATATGGAGGATATTGCTATTTTTATTCAAAAAAATTTGTAAAACAATCCAAATGATGAATAGTAATTCAAAAGTTAATATGATCATATTGTATTTAACAATTCCAACCTAGTAAGTTATAAGATAAAGTTATTAAACAATTTTTGAGGGCTAACATCTCAAAATAGAAGATGAATCCAAAATTACTCTCCTTTTGTTATTACAATGAAGAAGATTTCAAAACATTCGTTTTTTTTAGATAAATTTTTACTCTATATAGCCAAAGATTATGAAATAATTTTTATTATTTATTTTTTCTTTAAAAATTCTATTATCCATTATATATTAGATATATTTATAAGAGTTTCTTATATAAGTCAAATATCAAATCATGGCATAAATTAGTATTAATTATCAATAAATATAACCGAAAAGGTATCTACAAGGGTAATTTGGGCATTTCGTACCAATAAAACATTTTTCAGCACCTTTTTAAAAAATGACAAATATTTTTTTGCAATTGATAATATAGGGACATCTATGCAAAATTCTCATTAAAATTCATATTTTAATTTAAGCTAAAGTCAATAATTAATTTAAATCACATATTTTATAAAATCCACAACTTTTCAATTACAGATTTTATCATTCTTTATCAAAATCTGTTAAAATTTTTATTTTCATCCCCATGAAAACAGGGGCAACAAGTTACTTAACTCTTGTTAAGAATTTCACATATTTCAGAATGTAATCGAGCTCTTATAATAATGGGGTGTACTCAAATGAGATTTTTTTTAAAAAAAATAGATTTTAATGAAACTAATAAATCTAGGTGTCTCAAACTAAGAGTTCAATTGGATTACTGTTTTCAATTTTCCAAAATACTAAAAATGTGTTTGGTCTGGCGTTTCTAAAAATATATTTTTGAAAGTAATGTTAAACTTAACATAAAACTTGAAACACATTTTTGACATTTTGAGTATTTTCAGTAAAAAATTTAAAAATATTCAAAACAAGTGTTTAAATAAAATTTTGAAAATAAGATTTTTTAAAGGGGGATCGAAGAAGGCACTGAAAGAGATAGTGAAACTGGTGCTAGAAGAACGGAAGGCTCAAAAGATTCAATGATTGCTGCTGGTAGCCGAGGAGAAGCCCCACTCGAGGAGATGAGTAAAAACTTTCTCTTATTTTAAGTGATGAAAGAGATTTTTTTCGTTCCAAAACGTTAAATGAATGGCTGCCTACCATCCATGAAAAGTGGCATTTCCTCTTTTGCCTGCCTTTAATCGACCACTAAGGAGCCTTGAGAAACCTATTAGAGGATACTAACTTGTCTAATGTATCCTTCCCTCCCTTCCTTATCCACCTACTGCCAAGCAGTCGATCAAAAGGTTGTGTTTGGTTAAAAGTCCCATCTTGGGAGAGACATCTTAAGACCTCGGCCACCCAAACATGTAAGGGCCTCGTCGGATTATAGTGCTCGATGATTATGTCAGTCGGTCTTTCAACAAGATCCCCCTAAAAATCGTAAGTGCTGATCTCCCCGCATGTGGCTTACGCCATTCGAGGTGGCCCAGTCCAGCATTAATTCCCAAATCATGTAGTGAAATTGAGACTACTCAACCTCAGAAGCTAATTTGATTGTGTAGGCAGCACTACCTGTTGTACCGTTGACTCTATCTATTCATTGAATTTACTTTATTTCATTTATATATTTAGGCTCTATCCCTATGTAATCATGACATTGAAGGTGCTTGCGATAGGACGGATGCGACTTCCCTCAATTTGTTTGGGTGGCTCGCTTTGGGATGCGGAGGAGCAATTATTGTCCAGCTCCCTAACCTAATGCGGCATCGGGTTTAGACCGCAGGGAATCGTAGTTTGGGGGGACGTATAACCCTTTTGCCACTGTAAGGCCTTTACCCATTCACAAGGACTTGATTCTATGTCCAAACATCACATGCTAGCAGATGTGGTCATCATCATTGGTATCAAGATAATAAAAGCACGAAAAAGGCCACTCTGCACGCTTTTAGCGCTCGCCTCCTAACTAGGGGCACGTCAACAATTTCTTTATTCATATACGATATCGTCCACTTTTATATCCGAAAGTATAGATATGAAACAAAAAAGAAAGATATTCTGAATGAAATTCAAAGCCTATTCTTGCATCTTCCATTCATACATCTGCCGATTCCTTATCTTTCTAGTTGCTTCATTCCAGAGCAGCCCTGACTATGATGTAGTATAGAGAATGATAATCTCTAAAAGAAGAGAAACTACCTTAGTGAGAATGAGAACCGTTATGTGGCCATGGTGACTCAAGTCAAAGTACTAGGAATAGCACTATACGGATTGTTGACACTTCTTACTTGACCAAATCACAATAAACAATAAATACTAGGAGTTACATGGGATTTATCTAACTAAAGACAAGCTAATGCGAGTGAAAGGCCCCGAAGCCAGATCATAGTGAGCATCTTGGGACGGACCCAACATAATCTGTAGCATATGGGCGATGACTAAGCTTCGTTCTATGGCAGTTTAAGCTAGAAAATCGGATTCCGGGGATTACCTAAAACATCGTTATCAAGGTCAGTCTTCCACCCTTTCCTCGATACGAAAGCCTCAATGCCCTTACCCACCCCACCTGCCTTTGGCACTTTATATATTTCTACTCTTTGTTTGATATAAAACTCTTTCTTTGTTAAATAGTATCACTACCACAAGGCTTTCAATTCTATGGAATGGGGAAACTACGAAATCTTTCACAACTGGCAGGGGCCTAAGACAGGGGAGATTCTTTTTCCCCTACCTGTTTGTATTATGTTCAGAAAAATTGTAGAGATTAAAAAAAAAAAAAAAACTAATGCAACATTGAAAGAAAGAGCTATCAACTATATATTCTTAACTTATGCCCCAGGAATCCTTGG